TAAGTGAACATATCAGAATAATGGTCAATAGAGCTAAACTGCCTTCAGTCTCTACAGTTTGAGAATAATGTGGAACTGAAAAAACCATGCAAAGATACTATAACCATTACAACAAGTATCAAACTTATCCAGTTTTATCAATGCTAAGAAAAGAGCTTGAAACAAGGCAGTTCATTCTAGAAACACCTTTTCTACAAGCATCTTTTTGAAATTTTAAATCAAGGAAAAAAAAAATACATACATGTAAAGATCACTTAAATGATGAATCACATAATTTACTTTTTCGACTTACATTTTTTCACCAAAACCTTGAATACTTTCTCCACAACTGCTTGTTTCTCAATTTTGAATGGTCGATTGTAATGAAGATTGACAGGACCAAAGAAAATGCAAGAAATATGGGGAGTATCAGTGTCATCCCTTCAAAGAAATGTTATATGGTTTAATCTATGGCGTTATATCCCCGCCAAAATTCAACCTTTTGTTTGCAACATTGTTGCTTTTAATTAATGCTCGTTTTTACAATCCAATATTCAACGTCTATAATTCAACATTGCGCATTCACAAATCAACATCCATATTTCAAATTCAGTGTGCTTCGTTTACATGCGACATTCGTCTGTGTGTGTGCGATACGCTTGCATCGCAATCCAACATTCTTGTTTTCCGTATTCACACACCAACATCCATATTTTAAATTCACCTTCCGTTCGTTTAAGTGCGACATTCATGCCTTTCATTGCTATGTTGATGTTCGGTGTGTGTGTTGCGGTGCAGAGTGCGATATGCTTGCAGCACAATGCAATATTCTTGTTGGACATTGAACTTCACGCTTGAGTGAGCTGACCTTCAGATGGTACGCCGCTGTACAAAACATGTGGGCTCAAAATAGTTGCACGTGCTTCCTCAGTCTATTCCAGGCAAGGCAGTGATGGCGGATAATGTGAACTCTGCGAACACGTCTGCAAAGGCCACACTTCGTCGCGTTGCAGAGCAGTTGTTAACGCTGGCAAATAGAGGTGGGTTGTATTTTTGTTTTTTTTAGCACGGTTCATTTTGTAGGGACTTTGAGCTTTTGTGTTAGGGTTCACTTTATACGCCAGGTCTAAGTTCGTCGTGAAGCCGGACATCGGCTTTTCACCTTTTATATTTTTAATAAGACTAAACATAACCTTGATTGTACCGGATGTAGTCATTGTGAAGTTCCCCCGCCAGCTGAGTCTCTTTCGACCTTCTTAGATTTTTGTATTGAGATCGAGAGAGATTGACTGGTAGATTTGAAAAATTGAAAGGCTGTCGTGTTTTCAAAAAAAAAAAAGTTACTTATTTGTAATCCATTTCAATCCTAGCTATCGTTTATAGCCATCATCATTTCCTAGTGAAATCGTGTAATTGCGTGAGTGCTTTTTTACAAAATCAGAACAATATTGTTGGGTTTCTGGGTTTGTTTGCAAGCTTGTCACTGAGATCATGTTAAAAATGAGGACAAAGTCCCTTCACCTGAGGTGTCAAATAGAATGCGCTCTTATCTATGGCGTTATCCCTGCCAATCAGTCGAACTGGGCTTGGCAATCAAACATCATCAAATTCAAAGGAAAAAGTTGTCAATCAAACACAATTAAACTGTGATGTACTGTCACCCACAATTACCAATGAAACTGTTCTGTAATTGTGTGTTATTCAAGTTACATGTATTTCAAGTTGGGTAATCCTTGGTGTTACATGTAGTTTATTAATTTGTTTGTGTTGGTTTTGTTTCAACTGGTGTAGTAATAAAACTCTCAAAAAGTTAGATTCTTAATTATGTTCATTGACCTAACTCAATTAAACACCAATCATTCAATTGATTCTGGTTCAATGTGTGATTAGACAGCCCTTACAATAATAATGATGATGGTGATGATGATGACGACGATTATTGTTTTTGTAATAATGGCTTGGACTAAATTATAACAGAAATAGCTTATTCACTTATGATGCTTATTAATGTTAAATAAATAAACACCAAAGAACATAAACAACATTTTTATAAGGAAGGTGTGTAGCAAGTTTTTTTTTCCTCCTGTCAAGTTAATTCAGGACTATGTGTTTTACAAAATAATATAATTTACAGTCAAACCTCCCTAAACAGGCACACTTTTGATAAAGCCGCTTAGGTGTCCACTTCCAGGCGGTGCCTGTTAGCAAATCTTTGTGTGTTATTATATTAATAATGTTATTAATGTAATAACACAGTAAGAGGTAAATAATAAGCTAATCCAACAGTATGGATGGTTTTCACAGTGGCCATGTTGGTGGACAGAAACAATAAAAATTGTTTGCATAAAAATAAAGTTTTATTCCCAAAGGATGAAAATTTCATTGTTCTGACCACCAACATGGGCACCGTGAAAACCATCTATAGAATAAAATTAATAGTAATTTCAAAATTTATATATATATATATATGTATGTATGTATAGAGAGAGGGAGGGAGAGAGAGAGAGAGAGAGAGAGAGAGAGAGAGAGCTAAACGCAAGGGCACTTTTGTAACATTTTAGGGCACTTTGGTAACCTCAAAAAGGGCACTATTGTAACATAGGGCACTTTGGTAACATTTTAGGGCACTTTGGTAACCTCAAACAGGGCACTATTGTAACATAGGGCACTTTGGTAACATTATAAGGCACTTTCGTAACATTCCTTGGGGCACTTTTGTAACCTTACAAAGGCACTTTTGTAACCTTAATTACAACAGGAAGGGCAGTAATGAAATAGGGAGTATTGCATTGTTTATTGTTTTGATTTGCCTCTGACCGTTTAAACAATAGTTTGGGTATAACTTGGTTGCTTTCTTTTCAAGAATGCTTCTTGTACACACAGCCTGATCCAATAGCTTTAGGAGAATTCAAAAGTACATTCTTTTACCCTCCACAGCAGCTTCAGTTTCCATTATGAACTTTAAAATTCTCCCAATTCTGTCAGTTTTATTACCAAGACATGAGTAAATAAAAGAAAAGGAGAGCTGTATAAACTGAGTATGATTATTTTTCTTCAGTAATAAACAGTTCTGAACAAACAGGATACCAAATTGTTCAAGTGCCTTGAAATGATCAAGTCCTAATTTCTCCTTGATGCACAGCCATTTTTTTATAGTAGTTGAAACAAACATACTGATCAGTAAAGGCAATTAAGGAAACTGAACTGATGATCCATCAAATTCTCCTAACCAGCATTGAGAATATGTAGTCATCAAAACGAGAAATGAATGCTTCCAAACAACTTTGGTTACCAACAAACGAATTAAAAGAACTTTTATTGTTAACAATCACTTTCTGTTCATTTGGGCTTTGTTCCAAGATAGTACACTACTAACATAACTTGAAATTAACTCTAATTCTAGCACTTAAAAGTGAACATGTTTTGGTGTTTGATGTTTCTACCTTGACATA